TATAGTTTTTTGCAAGGAACAATAGCAAAGGCGTGTTTGAAACAAATGTAGTATTTTTCTGTGTTTAAAATGTGTATTATTTGATGCGAAGAAACCGGGTCGGTACCGTAGAAAACGATCATCAAAGAACAGACGTATACCCTCATCAAAAAGTATTAGGACAGTTACGGAAAAGTAAGTACACCCGAAATATCATTAGGAAATGATTAAAACCTTTAACAGTTATTTGGTTAAGTAATTAACAATTTTCTGCTACAAAAAATTTCAAATCGATTTCCTGAAATATTTGCTTTTCTTAGACGTGTCACTCTTCTAACAAACAGACGAATATAATATATGTATATATATACAGGGTGAACCAAAAAAGGGGTTCATAATGTCTGGGGTAGATGGAACTTGTTAAATGATAAAAAAAAGTTCTAATAAATATGGATCAGTAAATGAATATTTTCAAAGTTATAAGCAATTTTATGTTGCAATTAAAGGGATTAAAATATCTCCTAAACTAATGATTTTTCGACGTAAACAGGTTCTTAATACTTTTATATATATAGTAATAAATATAGTGCTCAATTTATCTCAGTATTTCCTACAAAATGTGTTACTCTAATTATGTCGACAAATCATTGGTTTAGGAGATATTTTAATCTCTTTAATTGATATATTTCCATTTTTAAAAATGTATGTCACCTTCATATGACCACTAACTGACCATCTACAAGAAAAACTAATTACACCAAATTATGTCCCCCTTAAAACCATTCACTTCTTTCGTTTATAACCGGACACCCTGTATATTGTCTAAAAATCAGTACCGTAAGGACTGTAATAAGGATACTCACGAAAATGTGGACGTGACGGGGTACCGAAAATTATAAGGTGAACAATCGGAGCAGGGGAACTACCCGAATAGAGGTATTTATAAAAGGACGACGTTCGTTATTCCAGTATGTTCAGTTATTTTTCGGGCCAGTGAATCAAATTGAATCAAGTGACCCAGACTCTGACTAGGAGCAGATTGTGGCAGGACTCGATGGAACGAGCTTTGAAAAGGTGTTGAAAAGAGTATGGACAAGTGTTCTACTATTAGCTATTTATTACTATAATACTATTTAACACTATTGACCTACATAACTTTTTGTTGTACTGAATTTTGGTTGACTAGACAATATGTATAGTTAATACTTATTTGATTTGTACTGACGCAGTAAAAAATTCAGAAATGTTATATTTTTTGTATTTTTACGTACTCTATTTATATCTATGTATTTTTCATTCCAAAAAATCAAGGACGCGATCAAAAACTTTTAAGCGGCAGTATAAGTTAAGATTGCGATTTTTTTTTTACATTTCGCATCAGGCAATTTTTCTTGCTACTTTTTTCGTTCTTTAGGATGAAAAGAAGCCTTATGGATTAATGTGTATTTTCCTATTTCCAAAAGATTTGTTTTATTTTGTTCAAGAATAAATTTTGTCAAACGATACGAAGTAAAAAGAAATTACAAATGCAGGATTTTAAAATATATGTGCGATGTTCGTGTTATGCGACGGAACACCAATTGTGTGTATTAAAAGGACGTAAAATTTAACGGGATTTGCACACCGCCATGAACTCTCTCCTATGTCTAATATTACAATCTATTCAGCTTTAAATATTTGCAATTAATTTCTCTCTATGTAAATAGCTCGAATAAAACCACTCTTTTCATTCAATAAATCGTATCTTGGATACTGTAACGAATTTGATTTATAACCATGATAATAAAAATGAAAAAGAAAATAAATAAATTTATAAATATCAATTTCAGTTGGTATTACATTTATCCTACCCATGCTTCTTTTCAGAATGCTAATTATTACCTCGTAAGTATTATAATCAGCGATAAAATGGTGGTACATTTAATTTAGCTAAAAAATTCGTACATTTTCATGCACATAAAGCGATGTCTCTTTATCAATCGTCAAAATTTTATTTATCAAAAATAATTTCACAAAGTATAGTACTGACAAAAACTGCCAGATTACTACCTTATCTGTAATTCTATTGCAAATACATATCTGAGTATTCAAAGATTATTTCTGCTGATCTACCATTTTTAACTAATGTCAAACTTTTGGAAGATATTATATGGAATTTTACGTTATAAACGTATTTCACTGCAACACATTTTAAATTATACTTTCGAATTGTCTAATACGATTGTTAAGTTTTTCTATCCATTATTTTAGTACTCGATAGACATATGTCATTAATAAAATGCACATAAAGAGTAAAAGGACAAAACTATTCAGTAAGTGATGAATACGTGAATAGGCTGCAAATTATAAGCAGGAATTAATCGCATTTGTATTATATTTATAATTTAATAAATATATGCTCAAAATCGAAATTTGCATAAATATTCGTGAGGCTCTTCTACGAGGATTTTAGAAATAAATATGTTGAGAATTATTTATAGTTAAAGAAAGCTGTTTATTATTACTGTAAGAAACATATGTAAAAAAAAACGTTCCGACACCGAATTTACTCCGAAAAGAAATCTTCAAGAAGATTAAAGAGAACAAAAATAATAAAACAACATTCATCTTTGCTATTTTAGCAGCCATTTTATTTCTAAGAATGATTGTTAGTCCATAAATGAGTGCTGTAAATAACTGTATAATTATAATTAATTAGTAGCCCCCTACGTATTTCAAAAACAAGTCAAATCTGGGTTGGCAATAATTTTCCTTATCTTTTGTTCTTTTGTTCCTTACCAAACAAAATTTTACATTTATCCTCCAAGGAAAGTATTAACTGATTATGTATTCAAACAAATTACATTCCATTATAAAATTTAATTAAACGGATTTCAAAACATCAGTTTTTCTTATACTAATTACTGTGATCATTCTATTTCATTAAACAGTATTATTATAATTTTTCTCTTTTGTCTTACATTCCCATAAATGTATAAAATTTTGTCACGAGGCAAGGGAAGAAATGAACTTTCAAGAACGATGCCAGGACTTCAATGTCAAGGAATACATAGCTCATATTGATTACTTCGATATATGATCAATTATTCACGTACACACACGATCTTACTTGTCACTGTACTACAGCGTTGCCTCTAGAAGCACAAGGTTAGAGATCTAAGGCTGTTCGATTGGATTAATTATCGGACTACCATTTTCTCCATGTGTTTAGTTTTTATAAAATAATCCGTAATTTTGAAACATATAGAGGGTGAAACAAAAAAGGGGTTCATAACTTCTAGAGTTGATAATATTTGCTAAATCATGAAAAAAAGTCCTAATAAACATGGGTCGAAAAATTAATATTCTCAAAGTTATAAACAATTTTCGGTTTCAGTCGAAGCGACTAACTTTCTCGCATCGGGAGCTACCTATCGTACCGTATGGAAACAATGAATTAAACCTTATCATTTCTTCTTCTCCCAGTTAAAGATTTTCTATGATTTTTATTAGTTTTCTTACAATTTTCTTAAAAGTTTCCATACGGTACGATAGCTCCCGAGACGAGGTCACTCGTATCAACCGAAACCGAAAATTGTTTATAACTTTGAAAATATTAATTTTTCGACCCATGTTTGTTAACACTTAGTTTCATCACTTGACAAGTACTATTTACCCCAGATGTTATGAATCCTTTTTTTGTTTCATCCTGTATAAAACAAATATGAAATCATGTATTCGAGAGACTTCGATCATTTCCCGTATTTCACAAGAAACCACAGAAATACTAATATAAGACAGTAATGTTTGTATTTATATTATTCAATTGATTATTATCTTAACTTGTATATATTTATATACAATTCTTTTTTGTACAAATTGCTCATACAGTTGTTGGTTTTAGACATCAATTACATGTTTTAGATGACTGTGTAAAATTATAACGTAGAAAGAAATTTGAATTTCTTACATTACACAAATTTTTGTACCAGATTGTCATTTGTACATTAAGTTAGCATGTTAATAGAACATGTAGGTCACTTTTATCACATTCTACAATCCATTATCCACTAACAGACACTATGAAAGTCAGTAACGAGCAGAAATAAGCAACTCTTAATGTACCATTTCTAACTAAGATAACAATTATACAAGTCTGGTACCATACTATTCTATTTTAATTTTACAAATTTATTATATTCCATGTTTCTATGTTTTTCCAGATTAAAGTATGACTTAAAGATATCAACAGAATATGTGAAATTAATTATTATCGTACTTAAATATATATACATAAAAATAGGTATTGCTATTCATATAACTCATTCAAAATTGAAATTAGAGTTACGTGTTTGCACTTGATTAATTGTTACTTAATTCTATATTCATGTATGTTACGACTGATTTACACTAGATACATGATAAAATATTAGTACACGTTGTCAGGATAAGGAGTACACGTAGACACATACATTTAAAATGAAATGAACAGTTTACATTCAATAATGTTTGTAAACATTGTTTTACGCAATTATTAAAGACTCGGAATAAACAAATTTAAATTTTGTTCACACAATGGCATTTTAATTGAATATTAAAATCTTAAATTATTGGTGAGACATTGGTGTTTTCTGTTCCCTCGTATCTTGACATTATGTACTTCTCTCAGTACATATATACTAAAGTATGTACATACGTACATACTAAAGAATTGCACAATTTCATTCGTGTAAACTATATTCCTTTTTTTCACAGCCTTATTGTGAAAATATAATTCGAAAGATAATTTTAATACATTTCATATTGCATATGAATTGGATATGCTTCTGCAATTTAGCTACCTTATAAATGGAAAACTGCATTGCTAAAAACTTCACTATTTTCTTGCATCAATATGCCAGAATATTACTCCAAATATCCAACACAAATGTTCAACAACTGCAACATTTGCAATACCTATATACATCTGAGAGTCTTTATGTACATCATACAACATAGTGCTGCATTGTTTTTTTAGCAGCACACAAAGTTCTTTGTCACTGTTATATAATAGCTTCGATTGAATTTGTATTTGTACTGCAAAACTCATGAACATTATTTTCTTCTTGACTGCCCTCACAATCATTGTCGTTGTTATTGCAAAAGCTTTCATCTTTTGATTCTTCGCTAAATCTTACACTGTCAAGCTTTAAATTTATTGAGCTGTCTGTCTTCGATAAATCACTAATGTCTGTATCATCCAACCCCAATGATACATCTAAGGAAGAGTCATGTCTAGATTCTTGACTAAAACAAGAGTCATCAACATCTGTTGCAGATTTATTTTCAGAATCTGCTTCAGAAGCTATGTTGTAAATGGACTGTGATGCAAGTGACTCTTCAATTTTAGGCAATTTTCCCCCGTTTGCATCTTCAGACTTATTTAACCTTTTTACTAATTCTGCCCATGGATCTTCCAAAAAAGATGTCATATCTATGTACCTTGATATGTCAACCGGTTGGCGCGCATCTTTTTGGTAACCCTGAATGTGAAAAAATATGTTCGATACCACCTAACAACAAACATTAAACTAATGCAAATTTTATCCAAAATTACCTTTCTCTGACAATAAAATTGTTTCCCAGAATGCTTGTAAGGAGAGTACAAATTATTGAAATTTGATTTTGGGGTTGCATGATAATTGTTCCTGTAATGGTTAAATCCACCACTACCTGAGTTACGATGATTACGACTACCTCCCGAACCATGCCAATTACCACTGTGTCTTTTTTTATCTGACTGTGGTGTACTAATATTCAAAGGAATAAAATCGTTTCCAGTATGTATTTGGACCAAATTCGGTGAAACACACTGGGAATTATCACTTTTACCGTAGTTATAACCTGTCCTACTTTTATGATCGTTCGATTTCCAATTGTAATTTTGCATCCCCCTGCTGCAGCTTGGCGTACTTAAAGGAGACTTTTTCATTTTTAAACTTTTGTCCACACTTACTTTTTTCACAGATTCTATCGATATTCAGGAACAATATTTTCTATACAACAAAGCACTAAAATGACGCCATAGTATTTATTTTATGTTGACCAATCGATATCTCGAAATAATGGCGTCCCTTGTATATCGATATATCCGTGCTCTCAAATCGATACAAAAATGACTACTGTTGCGATTACAATATGGCGACCATGGTGACTAATGGAGACGCGCCTTTCGATACCACCGACAGCGCGCTCTATAGATAGCGTGCGCATTTCTTTTGCGCGGGAACATTTTCGTTTGACCAGAGACCCGAAAAATAGATATTGTCGAGTTGTACACACATATCAGCGCTACGGATTGTTAGAAACGTATTTTCTGTTTTGTCAACCATAATCGTATATTAATTATTACAGATCTCCACCCGTAGCTGTAAAGGAAACTCCCAAATGTCCTCTACACTACTACATAAATTTAATATTGTTTAAATGTTTCTTTCAAAATCAACGGCAAACAAATTCTTATAATCAATAAATGCACATCGCTTTTCATTTTTCTTTATATTCTGATTGTTTGATAATATTTTCTTAATTATCGGTTCCTGTTTTTTTTAACATGCTCAACTTTAGATTGGAATACAAAAATTTCTACAACTATGGACATTTCAAATTTTTCCATGTTTCATTTGTTCCAGTCGACTTAAATATTATAACTTCGTAAACTTTGTACATGCATCGATTAACTGTAATTATCTGTTTCAACAGGTTCCCACAAAAACCACTGCTTGTGTCTTTTAATTTTCAGTATCTGAAGAAACTAACATGAAACCACCGACTAGGTATAGGATAGACCTATCATCTTATGGGACTTCGTGTCTCATGTTCTAAAATACCGATAGTGTAAAAAGTCAAGGAATTTCTGCTGCCCCCTACGTTATGAGAACGGTGAATTTGTGAACTACTTTAAATCCATTCGAGCTCAACTAGTCTAACTTCTACAGTGTTGTCGAGTCTAAAGTACGCAATGTTGTCAGATCATGAGTGTTCGGTACGTCGGAAAATCATCGAAGGGACCATGGTCGTGAACGGATTCTCTTCCGTCCGTTCGCTGTAAAGTAGACGTATTATGTAGAAAGGAGCTTGGGTTTCGGTCCCGTCGGACCTATTGGTTTTTTTTCGCGTACAAAAAAGTTATTGCGTTTAATATTGTTTTTATAAATATGTACATGTATTATTATGTACATTTGAGTAAATTATTTTATTATTCCATTGTTATTACAACAGTTTAACAGTGACAACGAACGCATGTATATTTTCAAATATCGGACTAACAGTATATTTTTATTCTATATTATTACATATAAGTAAGTAATACGTATAAAAACTTAATCGAAATACAGATTTTTATTACACCACAAACATCGCATAAAAGATATTTCGTTATATTGACATTTGTAATAATTATGGATGTTGCAAGGAAATCAATATTATTGACATTATGGAACATATAACGAAATATCACTGTAACACTTAAAAAAGTTTTAAAGTTCCATTTATATCATTGTCCTGTGAAAATGTTCATACTTTCAGCAGCATTCATATTCCAATCAAAGAATTTACAGAATAAGGAAAAGGAATCTAAAGTAATTTTCCGTAGTTCCATACATCTTTATCTCGAATAATTTTCTATATTTCTATAACATTCAAAGTACTAGACATTTTTAGAATACTTTGAATCTCATATCGATTTCTAAAATAATCCTAGTTCGATGTAATATAGAACGTGATTTTATGAGATAGATTCGAAGTTCGCAGCCATTAGATCGATATTGTCTTCAGTTTACAGTACTTTACCGATGATAATACCGATTGCCCAGGCCTCACCACGAGGAGGTTGCTGCGAGTGGAGGCCCAAGGCAGATAGATGGAATCACAAGTTCTACATCTACCCACCTTTCACAATAAACCTTATAAATAACTTAAATCTTAACTATTTGATCAACTTCTTGAACATTCTAATTTCATAGCCCTAAACTGGGTACCTGAAAGTATTTCATGGAATTTGTGTAAAGGATTTTGCTACTTCCTAAAAGACTCCGTGTGATATTTGATAGCCTAAAAAACAGTGTGCCGATACAGGGTTCCGATTTATTTACGAAACTAATCTGACCAGTTGCTGCATTCTTTGACACTAATTTTCAAGAAATATTAAACTTCTGTATTTCACTTAATTTGAGAGACACGTAGCTGAATATTAACATACGTTCATTATTTAATTACTCGCAATAAATAAAATTTTTGTAAGTAAATAACGTGTAAGTAAATTCATATGTAAAAATTTACCAATTGCCAGGAAGTAATTGTTCGTGCGTACTAAAATTCTTACCATCGGCAGTAAAACTATTTATACTCCCATATAAATTATAAATATGTAAATGTTAATAAACGCGGTGTATATATTCTTCCACATGTAGATTTGATAAACTATTTATGAAACTACATCTATTCTGAATTTATCTGCTACAAATATACAAATGTAAGGCAAGATATAAAAACGAATAAAACAAGAACATGTAAAAAGTAACATTAATAAAATGTCCATTAACGATGCATTTAGAATAAATTGTCTTGGAGTTAAGTGAAAAAATATATACTTTTCCGTTTCAATTGTGCTAATAATACTCAAAATTCATGCTTTATCGGTAACGTCGGGTATTGACACTAAAATGGTAAGGGGGCTTCTGACGCCCTCGAAGTATGGGACAGAAAATTACATTGCATGTAGGTCATATATCTCGTCTGTGCTGTGACGTAAATGTCACAGACATAAGAAGAATTTCTTCTTCACCAATTCAACTAGAAATGAGAAAGGAAGCTCTTCTTTAGGTCAATACTTTTAATAACAATGAAACCCTTTCAATAAATATTTACTCCAACAACAAATATATCACTAATTAAATTTAACATAACAACTATTAACATTAACTAAGGTTAACTTGTTGAAGATTTACTTCCTCATAGATTTCGATGATTTTGGAATATGTTGTAGAAATCAACATTCTGAACAACTTTTTCCTTTCGCGAAAATGTCGGTCGGCCCTAGTTCCCGAGATATTCGTAAAAAAACTATCGGTACCACTACTTTGCTGTTATAGGTGCGTGGTTAACAATGGGTGGCGACTTGGCTCACACGATTATTCATTGCATTCCGTTTCTACTTATTGCCAGCATGAATCTACGGCAAATCTTTTTTTGTTAACAACTTTTTTACAAACAACAATCGGCGGTTAAAACCTTCTAAAGATCATTTAAGAGGATGATCTCAACAACATATGTCAAGGTCAAGATCATCGGAGGATGGGTCCCCCAAACAGCAGTTTTACCTTCACTGTACCCACATAGCACATGACGCCCATCTTACGGCCATTACGGCTCAGGTTTGAGGCGCCTTTAAGCCGTCTTCCAGGCGTCATGTGCTACTTGAGGTAATGGTACCGACAGTTCTTTGCGAATATCTCGGAAACTAGGCCTGACTGACATTTTCGTGAAAGAAAAAAGTTGATCAGAATGTTGATTTCTACACATATTCAAAAATCGACGAAATCGGTGAGGAAGTAATTCTTCGACAAGTTGACCTTCACTAACTATATACTACTACTATATATATATATATATACTTCATTGAATTTTCAATAATCTCAAATATAACTCGTTAAATATCTGTTCTTTGATAAAAAAGGACCTGAAAATTTTATAACAAAAAGCGATAAAAACGAAAGTAGCGAGACTCCAACATATACATATGCCCTTTACGACGAGCCGGTTGAGTTGAAAATGGTGTCGCCACATTACAGTGTCCAGTGCTTCCATCTATGTACAAACAACGGAACAGTATCACGTCTACCAACTTTATGCAACGCAATTCCGTACGAAATTTTAACGCGCCGATACAGGTGGCGCTACAGCGGCGATTGTACCACGCATGTGTAATGGCGCCGTGGCTGGCGGGGGGGGGGGGGGGGCAGGGGGAATGCAGCGAACGTTTCGTCTAGTGTGGGTAGTGGACCTTACATCGTTCTTTGGTCGCGCACGTTTGCGAGAGTTTGTGTCCACAATGGACGGCTTGGTACCTGTTGCACGGCCCGACGCGGACCGGTTCGAGTCGTTCACTTATCGACGTTTGTCATAATACAGCCAAACGGTCGGTGTATTTTTTTCGGCGAGGATGAACTGTCGCAAGTGTCGCGATCGTCATTGTTGACGTTTCTGCTGGTGGCGGCGGTGGTGGTGGTGGTGTGGTAGTGGTGGTGTGACAGTGGTGGCCGCTACCCGCCTAGCGGCCGTGCGTCACGATTTTCTCCTGCAAAAACAGCGCCGGGATATACTACGTTAACGATCAGTGAAATAATGGGGATCGTGCAAAGCCGTGCCGGCGAGAGCGATGGCGGTGTGCGCGAGGTGTTCATCGGTAGTGTCAAGGGCGGCGCGCCTCATCAATCCTGTCAACCTAGCCTCGGTATGGGAAGTTTGGGTGGACCACACGCACGGAGCGGCAGCGTCCGTAGCGCGCCAAGGCAACCTATGCCCGACGCTGTCGAGCTCGAGAGGCGCTTCACCAAAGTCCTGGTGAGTTTTCGAAGACTTTTTCTTTTTTTTTTTTTTTGCTCCACCGTTCCCGTCACATTCGTAAATCCCCTAACGCGCGCGTCCGGCATGTTTCGTGGGATTAAATGCACGGTTTCGCTTAAGACGGACGGGGTCCTTTGATGTACACGCTGTGGAGTGAATCGGGGGGAGGGGGGGAACTGTCAGTACAAGCATGGGGATAGGGTTGGTTTCCAAGAATCGAGTGGAAAAGCTACACACCAACAATTTCATGCAGATGTGTTTGCTCTTGTAGTTAATTAAATATTTAAACATTCTTAACAGGAATACCGAAACCTTTTACGTTGAAGTAGTAATTATATTCTAAGAGAGAATTGGTGACAAATATACACTCGTATTGATGTTTAGGCAGTATTTCCGATTATCTTTCTTTCAGTCCTTGAGGCAATATTCGGTCTCTTCGTTAAAATGCACCGGTGTACACGATATTTCAGAGAAATATACAGCCAGGCTTGCATACAAACGATGTTTACAAAAGGCACCTTCTAAAACGTCAGACAGGATCCGTTTGCGCCGGTGTACGTGAATGTAAACAGTAATAGAATATTAATTGAATCGCTTTGATCGACCGTAAATCACGTGTCACATCAGTGAACCAGTTGGTATTAAGGGAATCCTGAAGTCAGATAACCCCGATAATTATTTTGAACTGTATTGTTTCTGTCAGTTATGTTTAATAACATTCGTAGCCGGTCCACTGATTCAGAAATACACACCGCGATAGGATATATCTATACAACGTGCGTTGCAATTTCATGTATTGTATGTACATGACATCGACGCGAGAGCACGGTCTTATTTATCTTAACTATCCCTGAAGTATAATGTAAGTAACAAGCCGATCGGTATCGCCACGTGTGGCCTGTAACTTATAGCTGCTAATATCTGAACTCGAGTGAACTCGTGATACTATAGGGTTCGCTGTATCGTCAACCATCTGCATCGTAATTCAGATTTAACGAAAAGATGGTTTACATTTCATTTCGTTTCATTTGGTATAACCGTATGCATATAAAACTCAAATTTGACTCGTAAGGGAAATTTTTAAGTTTAAAAGCTGGTTATAAAGTATTAAATGATAGGTTGTACGTAACGTAAGGTTTGGATACATTTGATGAGTTGGAATCGTCATACATATGCAAGTTTCTTATGTCAGAGTGCACAATAAGGAGTCTGACCTGTCGTTTAATTTGAAGCTGTGGTACGGTTCTTTACAAGTTATTTCTTGCATATCTTTTTTGCAATATATCACTTTAAAGGGCAGGATTTTACAAAAAAAAAATGCCTAGTTCCACAGACATTTTTTGTATAAAATGAATGTGACAGAATATTATTTTAGTTGAATTATGTTTTATTTTTAGTAATTTCACTATTTAACCCTTGTGTGGGCAACCAAAATATTCACGATTATTGAGCATTCGCAATACTCCTATTTTGACAGATTCGATAAATGTAGATAATTTTACTTTCATACTTTTCCGAAACTCTTACAAGGGAAGTTCGGTAACCCGAAAATTCCGGTTTTTGTTAAACTTTGCAGGTTTGTAGGGGACCTCAAGAGAAGTATAGCGCAATTTTTATTTTTGGCCCAATTTCAGTTTTTCAGGGTGAAACCATCCCTTGAAAGTAGATAGGTGTTTCCATATTTCCTTGTATATCTTAAAAGCTTTCGTAGATATAAAAAAATGGTTATAATAAAAATTGAATGGTTTTTTATGTTTTATAAAACGATGCAATTAAATTCATAATTAAAGTGGGGGGGATGTTTTTATTTAAACAAAGAATTTTTATCAATTTAATTGCATCGTTTTATAGAACATAAAAAAACATTCGATTTTTATTCGAACCATTTTTTTATATCTACGATAGTTTTAAAAATATACAGGGAAATATGGAAACACCTATCTACCTTCAAGAGATGTTTTCACCCCGAAGAATTGAAATTGGGCCAAAAACAAAAATTGCGCTATACTTCTGTTGAGGTCCCCTACAAACCTGCAAAATTTAACAAAAACCGGAATTTTCGGGTTACCGAACTTCCCTTGTTAGTTTTCCTTTTCTGTAATACACCATTTATAACAATGTATAACAAGAACATAAAAAATTGTGAAAGGAAATTTAGAAATGGGTACCTGGGTTGCCTATACAAGGGTTAAAGGGGGTATGATTAACGTCCTACCATGCGAATTGAATATGAAAAAAAGGGGGGACATTTTTCATACCAAAAGTGTTTCTCTCAAAAGTCTATATTAATAACAACTGTATCCGTTAATAGAAATAGTTCATTTTCTATAAACTATTAATTTTGTATTCACCTAATAGTTTTGACTTAAAATGCTCCACTACACCATGCCACTAATTTTATGGGAATAAATGTTTAAAATTTATTAACAAACGCAGTGTAGAGCAAAATTAATTCGGATCGAAATGGAAAATTTCTTCAAAGAGTTGAGCGTATATTATCATTTTTCGATGCGTTTTGTGAACGTTCGTCGTCGCGAGGGCCACCGACCGCTCGAGGGTCACTAATTTTTTTCTCCTCGGGACGAAATGTCGAGAGGTCGAAAGCGAGAATCCATGCGGTGGCAGAAGAGGAGAGAGAAATAGAATGGAGAAAGAGTAAAGATGTATGCACGCCTACGTAAAGGCGGCTCTCACCAAATAAGATTCGATTGCGCATCGAGACAACCATCGTGGCAACTACCAACATATCGTAAACAAAGAGACCCCTTTACGGCTCGCATTAACTTGCAGTCGCTCGATTCGTTATCTTTTTCGCTCCCCTCTCTCTATCTTTTTAACACGGTTTTGCATCTATGAGATCTGTATTTCGACGACTTTGAGCAGATATTATGAATGTGGGCCATTTGGTGTATATCCAATGACATCACCTTCTATGAAACTATATTTCATTACAGAATTATAAAAATTAAAAATTTATTATAGAGTGAATTTCCCCAGTAAATGAACACGTATCATTGAATGAACATTATATATAAAAACGAGTAAATTAAGTTATTAAAATAGACAAATAATTAAATATTAAGTTTTTTCAATTCTTTGTTTCATATTCAAACAATTTTTGCGCCACTGGTTGGAAATGTTTATTTACTTAATATTGTTCTTTTTCTTATTAATTTAATTGATTACAGTTTTCCAATTTTACAAATTGAAATCTATACGTTATACGAAGGTAAAATAATTTATTAATATTATTATCATATAAAATTTGACTGCAATAGTTACAAAATCTCAAGTGTTCATTTATTGGTGCGTTTACCCTGCATTTCCAATATTATTAATCGGACCTCTAAAAATTTTTCCCATTCAAACTATTTGTTAAATAAAATGTGAAGGATGAATTACCGTGTACATACGTTAACCTTCTTATTACAGTTATCGAAATAGTTTAATTATGAGATATTCACTGGATCTTTTACCCCTTTTTATCAATTACACACTTAATTGTTTACACAAATTATTTACTTTGATTTGTTTTACTATGTTATAGAATAAAAATAAATGTTGAACATTTACAATTTTCATTTTTCAAATCAGTCTTGGAACAATTATTTTGCATTTACTTTTAAAACAAATGAGGATTACTAGATATTTATCGTATCATTGATCACAACAATTACAAATTCAAACTATGAATACAAGTTTGAAATACAATAATTAATATACGTAACAGATAACGTAATAATCCAAAAATATGGGTTGTAATTATATACATTTATAATTCCGTTTTTCATATCAGAATTACGAAGAATTCGTTACAGTTTAACAAGTACTTACTCGAGTTTGTAACTTTTGTACACGTTTGACCTAAAGGTGCGGATAACTGTTGTTACACCTGACTCTGGGTAGCAAATTGTGGTGCATCATTGTAACGCTTTGTACATTATGTTGCACACGACTAAGGGGAGCACAGGACCATTAATAATTTCTTTTACTGTAACAGTAAAACAATTTTCTTGTGTACAAATAAATTGAGTTCAATTAATTGATTCATTTTCTTACATACTGTTAACAAAATTAATATTTAATGATTGTACTTCGTTGGATCGATTCAATTTTTTCTTAAGTCACAAAAATAATTACAATAATTTGAAATGTTGAAAATTCAGTAAAATGTTGAAAAACAGTATTATCGAATAAATCTATAAATTTGAAAAAAGAAAAAAGAAACTGTAGCCCGAAACAATTTAGTAACATACCGTGTCATTCATCAGTACATTAAATAGTTGAACGTAGACACTGATAAAATGGTTTATCAAGGTCTATTTTCGACTTTAAGGGGAAGTGTGATCCATAAATAAACACATAATCTAGTTACTTTAGTATCAGAGACGTTGCCAACCGGAAATACGTTGATTTTCGTGTGAAACGTGAGATGAAAGTTACTAATTAACGTTAATTAATTAGTTTATCGGTTTGAGAAACTTTTTTTCTAAGACATGAGAAATAGGCAACGCCGCTTAATAGATATAACTAAATAGGACAGTTTAGTGTCGTACAATTTTTAAATTATACACGAATTTGAACTAATGTGAACTGCTTTGGATAATAAAAATAATATTTATTTAATCGAATAAAGTATAAGACAATACTTATAATTTAAAAAGAAAATGCATAAGGACCTATTGAGAATAGTAAAAATAGAAAGAGAATTTTATAAAAACGTTATTTTTTGTAGCGTAGTTTAACATTCCATCCACTGTCGAGTGTTGTTATTTCTAATGTAGTTTATGTTTTATACGAATTTAGAATTATGACTTAATTATAATTGTAAATTATACTTAAGAGAAAAACTTGTTAGAATCAGCACAAATGGTTGTCATATCAAAATATTTGTGTTACAAGATTGTATTATTTATTACCTTTATGTTGGAAATTCACTTTTAAGTTATTCCCATATTTTGCCTCAAATTGATTTCACGAAGAACCATTTATGAATA